CACCCCTATTAGTTATATTAAGTTATTAGTTAGGATGTAGCTGGTTAGTGTCCACAATGTTTTTGAACTCTTAATATTTTTCTTTTTTGAAACGTCTATGGGGAAATTAATGGAAAGTTTACTTCTCGAACCAGAGATCCATTGACAAACATGTGTGAGTATGAGAAACACTGGTCTCTACACAGTATCTCTCATTCTCTTTGTGTGAAATTCCTTTAGATGAATAGCCAGCATCATCATGTTTTGGGGGTTTTCTTTGGAGCCCGGGTCAGTGCTGTTAATTGGAGCTGTGTGAATCAGAGCAGTGCCCTGTGTGGGACTAATGACAGACTGTCTCTCTCCATGTGTGGAGGGCAGATGACACAGAGAGGAAACTGCCTGGAAACAAGGCCAAAACCTACGGGACGCTGCCCAAATTACAGAGAGAAGAAGAGAAGAGGAGGATGAGAGAGAGGGAAGGAGCAAAAAAGGGTGGATTCTTAACAAGCGAACAACAGGGCATATGAAAGGGGTTGTAACACTGGTGGTATGAGTAATTTTGTTTAAAGGACTGATATTACTGACTCCTCTCTCTGTTATGATCTTGAAACCGAAATATTGTGATATTGTATCTTCAAAAGTCTAACAATAATATATCGTGGACCATCACAATATATTGAATTACAAGATTAAGAGTTATGGTGCAGCAATAAAAAAAAAGACAGAGGGAACTACATAGACCATGATCCTTTGCTCCATTTCCGTGCAGACTACAAGAAGAAATAACAGTTCTAATCACTTTTAAGTCTTAGTTCTTTGGATCAAGTCTTGTCAAGGCATTTTAAGAGGAAAAGCAGCATATCACAAAATATCGCAATAAATATCGTACCGTGAGATAAATATCATGAAAATATCGTACAGAGAGATTTGGATATTGTTACATCCCTAATCGTGAGCTTTCCCACAATATCGCAAAAAATATTGTACTGTGAGGTTCATACTGTGAAGATATCGTATCGTGAGACTTATCGTTACACTCCTATAAGTCTACATCTTCAAATCACAACATTCTCTGTTCCACCTTGTGATGTCATGCAGTGGTAGTTTTCAAGTTAACAGCTACATTTTATCTTTAGTTCAGTAAAGATTGGCAGTTCCAGGGCTGAAATGATCAAGATGATTCTAGTGAATATGTTTGGAGTTTAAAAACACAATGGAGCACTTCCTGTGTTACCACATGACATCAAAAGGTGGAAAAGAGTGTTTTCCGTTTGAGAGAAGAACTGAGCGTAAATATGCAGGGTTTGTGTGTTAAACACGTGTGCAAAACAAAACAGAACTCCAGATATGTTTGTGAGGACAGGAAACATCAGTCACCATATAAATGTTTAAATGTTATAAATGTTAACATGTTTTATCAATGATTTTTCATGGCAAAAAGTCATTTTTAAGTGAATACAAAAGAGTCTGATGCTATGCTACACTACTGGGGTCCTCTGCCAAAAAGGTGCACATTTAAGTCTTAGGTTTGTCCAAAGTAAATCCTTGCAGGTTTTTTTTGTGTTATTTGTAGCCTTGGAAAACAAAATGGCCACTTATAAACAGAGCACAGAGGGAAGAGTCACAGAATGGAAAAATCAGACAGAGCCCTGATTGTCTGAGCAGCTTAAAGCTACGAAAATCTGGGTCAAATCATCCACAGTCCAGATATGAACAGACACCAGTGTTTGAGAAGATTAGCATTGCACGCTAAAAGATTCAAACAGCAAAATCACATTTAAAAGAACAATAAAGGAAACTGATCAGATAAGATGACTGCTTTTCTCTCAGTGTATCCATGACTTTCAATGCTGTGTAAGAGTGTGTATTGTATGTTTATTAAAAAAAAAAAAAAGGTATGAACTGCACGTGTATTGCCAGTGCCTGAACCTGCAGATAGTGTTTCTCATTCTCAGTTTATGGTCAGACCTCTTGTGAAAGCTCAGAACCTCCAGAATCCAGTTCCTAATTCACGCACTGATTCATGACTGGCTGCATGTGCTGGGGTTTAGGTAGTGACCGTTCAGAACAGAGAGAGCCATTTTAGGTTTAAACCAGCTGGATTTCAGTATTGAACCTGGCAACGCAAATGAGAGACTCATGCGAGGCTCTTTCTGTTTTCTGATTGGATAATTGTCTTGGGACCAAAACACCAAATTACATAAATGAATGGGACATCATGTTAATAGTAGGTTAACAGCAAAAGCTATTTGATTTGAACCTTGTTATGGGGGCATGGAGAGGTCAAGTCTATGAAATTTAAAATCTAAATCTTACATACAGTTCCTTTAAGGCTGTACTATGTCCATAGACTGTATAAAGAAGTGAACTAAGCGAGTGTGACCTCACCCACAGCGTTCAGCGCCACTCAAAAGAAGCTCACGACACTAACGGAGCAAATTTGGAGCCAGGCTCTATATTATGAATAGGAATTTTTGGACGGACACCTGTAGAGCAGGTTAATACAAACACTTTAAGACCAAAATGACGAGGCTCACAGCAGCAGTTACAGAGAGAGGAGCCACAATATTCCAGTGAAAGTCAATGGGAGCCAGAGTCAGTAGGAGCTGGAAGAGCCTGCATATGAACTTCCTATTTGGAATGCGCCAGCCAACGCATTAGCTATGTCCATTTATCTCATGGAGCTATAATAAAAGCTGGATAAGACATCCCCCCTCAGTCCTGGCTCGAGACCGACTAGTGGTCGCTCCAGGTACTGCAGCTCCTGGAGCTTGGGCCCAGACAGAATTCTCCCACAGAAGTACAATGCATTTTCTGGGAATTCAAACTGCCCGTGTTCGGCTGACAGGGCATCCACAAATTTCACAAAGGTCGAATTTTGCAGGGATTGTTTTATATTTTCACAACATAAACTTTAAAAAAATTTAAATCTTCAAAGCGCCTAAAAGTTAACTTTGTAAAAGTTATCTTAGCTATGCTCTGAGCCGTGCTAGATTGTTCCAAACGCTCCACGCCGAGCATGATACAGACGTCACACGGGTGGGAGGCGCTAGCCCCTATTGAGGAAGTAAATGTGGAAGAGAAAATTTTTTTGGGCCCATGCACCATTGAGCACAGGCCACTGAAAACAATATGACACCATCTTGAATTCATCTTCCAGATTTTGTTACAGTTCTATGATTTATATATACGTCTATGTTTATGCCATACTTGTGGAACATTCCTGTCCGGAAAAGTTACATATTGCACTGAAACTCTAATAACTGTTAAATAGGTTTGAGTGGGACATCTGACATAATGTTAAATCTAACACTAAGAAACAGGAGAACAGAGAAAATCTGTTCCCAGTGTGTTCCAGTTTTGTGGGTGCGGCGTGTGTTGTATCAGCATTAGCATTAACATTAGACACCTGGCTTGTTCAAAGGGTAAAAAACTTTGTTAAAACGTGAGACGACGTGGCTTCTGGTAAAATGTGAGTGTTTTATGAGTTTGACCTCCTGCTGCTCAGCTCCACTCTGCACCTCCATGTTCTGCAAACTCACACACTTTTCAGCTAAGACACAGCAAGAGCCAAGACACAGCTATAGTCTTTTACCCCTTTGTGAAGCTATGGAGCAATAATACAACAGGTAAAGAGGAAAAGAACAAATTATGGTGACGTGTCGACCAAATTATGTGATTTAACAAGAAACCCAGTTCAAAGGAAAAAATACTATACATTGGTTTAGATTTCATTTGAATTCATAATATTAAAGACGCATTATATAATTCTGACTTCTTAAAAAACTGTTAAAAAATATTTCATTTGGTCCGAATAGTTTGCAGTGGTTCGAAGTTAATGCTCTTTTACCTTATGCATTAAAAACACCCTAATTATTCACCACAATGAGTTTATAAGTGTTTTTCACAACTTTCAGAGACCAGAGAGCAGTTTCGCTGTGACGATAAAGCTAACAACTAGCATGCTTCCTACATACTTCCTGATTATTGACAAATGAAATGCTTTCTAATTAAATGCAGACAGGTTGCAGTGGATGTACTCCGCTTATGCTTAGACAATGTCTGTACTGAGGCAAGACACATTTTATATAAATAATTAAATGTCTTCTGCTTTTGACCCATTCTTCCATGTATCTGGGGCACCTCATCGAGGAACCAGAGTGCCCAGAAGAAGCCCACCCAGACACAGGGAGACAATGCAAACTCCACACAAAAAGACCCAGATGACTTGGTAATGTAACACAGAACTTTGTCAGCCACCATGCCGCATTTTGCTCTAGTATAAGGAAAAATCTTACAGGGCCTTTAGAAAAGTCATTTGATTCAGCCATGTAGAAATACAGTAGGTTCATTGTGAGAAGAAGTACTGCCTTGTCTAAAGTGATTCTTAGGTTTAAGGTCAGCACTGGGGTCAGTGGGTTCAAAGACATGTCATAAATATAGAGTGAAAAATCTGTGGATGATTATAGAAGTAATACACAAAAATACAATCACGGTTTTGTTGATTCCAAACATCATGAAAATCTATAGTAGCAATGGACAATCTACTAACTATACGACTCAACACAAGATACTTTTTAGAGCATACTTCTGTTCCCACAGCTCTATGTTCCAATTATAGGAACAACCTACACACAGTACACCGAGTCATATGCACAACATTTTTGCACAGAAATCATCTTTGCTCTGTACATTTCCAACACAACTCAGCAGTAAAGTAGACCACTTTAAATGACTTTAAATTGAACTGACGTATATGTCTCTAGCACATAGGTTTTAAATGGGAAATACCAGTGCTTTTTTTTTACTGCTGCGGTTAAAGTGGTTAGTTTTTGGTGACAGTTCTTGTAAAAAGAGGATTTGGGACAATTATCAGGCCAAACAGTGGGTGTGGTGGGGCTGCTTTAAACGCTATAGTACAGACAGTGGTTATTCTGAGCCAGTCAAAACAATGCTGTATATTTATTTACACATTTAGACAGAATATAGGACTGTTTGAAAATGTATACATATCGTCTTACCATCCAGAAGCTGCGGTGGTTTGCATCTTCAGGGCTGGTTTCTGTGGGTTCTGTCGACATCCTGGACTCTACAGGAACAAAAGAAAAGGAAGAAATCATGAATTGACGTGTGATAGAGCTGGTCTGTCACCTGCTTGTTTCTATGGATATGTCACTGCTCTGCTTGGAATGTTCCACAGTATGACATTAAACAGCTCTACTTTGCATTATCCAATTACAGGTGGTTTTACAGCTCAAAATTACAAAGCCTCTCCACAGATTTGACCTGTAACTTGGTCTGGTTTGGTCTCCATGGAGATAAAAAAGTTTAATGTCATACTATGAAATATTCCAGGCAAAGCAATAACGTCTCCATTAAGTAAAACATTTTATGGACCCCTCACCAGAAAAGTTACACAATACACTTCTAAGTATTGTATTGTAGGAGGAGAATAGTGGATAGTGGTAGTATTAGGAACATTGTATTTGACAAATTGTCAAAATATATAACTATATTTAAAAAAAGATTGTGTCCGTGGGCAAACAAAAAAGATATTAGATAAAAATATGCAAAATGCTTTACAACTTTACATAAGGATATTCAATACTTGTCTGTTTCAATCTTTAAAGGTACATTATGTAACATTTCTCCTAATTTCGTACTGCCTGTTTTGCCTCTGGAAAGTAGGGTAGCAAAGGAGATGGAGGTATTATTGCCTTGCCTGAAATGTTCCATTGTGTGGCATTAAATTGTTCTATCTTCATGGAGAAAAGCAGGTGGCACCACCAGGTCAATTTACAGGTCAGATCTGTGACTCGTAAGTCACAGTAAGAAACTCTGCAGTAAGAAAACATGTGTTTCAGGATATTTATTCTAACAACACCCATTTGTTTTCAGAATAATGAGTAATTAAGAAAGTTGCCATAGCGATTTAGCAATTTAAAACTTTAAAAACTTTTTTTAATGGAAAACAGTCCTCAAAATGTAACAGGAATTCAAGGCGCATCATAAGCAATAACCAAATCTCCATGGAGGCAAGCAGTTGGCACCTGGTAGACACTTCATCAGAAAAGTTACATAGTGCACCTTTACTATCATATCTTTAATTTAGAAACCACATGCCCCCCTCCATAAGCCGCCCTCCCCTCTCTGCTCTGTGTGATCCAGGTTTGATCTGAAATGCAGCTGCTGTGAGATGTCTTCCTGCTGTCCACAGTTTAAATTCCTCAACTGAATAAAATAAAATAAAATAACATAAACTAACTGCTTTTAGTGATGTGCAGGGTGATTATCAGGAAAAACGAAACAGAAAATGTTTAATTAACTGTAAAAAAAAAATAGAATACGAATGGCCTGGGTTAAGGCTGTGTTCACACTTGCACATTCACACCACATCAAAATAAACACTAAGTGGGATTAAATCACAAACTGCCTCAGGGATGGGCGAAATAAAATACAGTTCTCCCAGACGTCAAAATATTTAACTGCTCATTCTTCAAATAATTTCTTTCCAAGTGTCAATCAACACCCAAGATACAGGTTTGTACTCTACTGACTATTCTCTGACTACATCAACACTTAGTTTCAGTCCTGTTTTGGTGTAATACAAGTTGAATTTAACATAGCCCTTGTGTTAAGACTTAAGACTGATTTAGTCTTGGTTTAGTGTTGGGTTAGACCTGGTTTAGTCCTGATAATGACCTGGTTTAGTCTTGGGTTAGACCTGTTTTAGTCCTGGGTTAGAATTGGGTTAGAAATGTTTTAGTCCGGGGTTAGACCTGGTTTAGTCCTGGGTTAGATCTGGTTTAGTGACTGGTACTGGTTTAGACCTAGTTTTGTCTTGGGTTAGACCTGGTTTAGCCCTGGTTTAGTCCTGGCTTAGTCCTAGGTTAGACCTGGTTTAGTCCTTTTTTTCTCTTGGTTTAGACCTGATTCAGTCCTTGGGTTTGTCCTGGTTTAGTCCTGGTTCAGTCCTTGGGTTAGACCTGGTTTAGTCTTGGGTTAGACCTGGTTCAGTCCTAATTCAGTCCTTGGGTTAGTCCTGGGTCAGCCCTGGTTCAGTCCTTGGTTTAGACCTGGTTTAGTCTTGAGTTAGACCTGGTTTAGTCTTGGGTTAGATCTGGTTCAGACCTGGTTCAGTCCTGGTTCAGTCCTTGGGTTAGTCCTGGTTCAGTCCTGGGTTAGACCAGAGTATCTGTTGCACATCAAATCACTGTACACATTTGAAACTGAACCAGACGCCACGCAGCTACAGGGCACCGTGAGGGGCATGTCCAAGCACGCTCGGTCCGCACCCTCCCAGGATTCCCTGCTTCGAAACGCGAGCTGTTCTGAAACAACCAGGGGCTAAAGATCAACACAACACCATGACTGTGTCAATACTGATTTTCTCACAGCAGATTAACTTATTGTCTGTATAATGAGAGAGTTAGATGCATGTGGAGTTACACAGGAAGAACAGTGGATGCTTCAGTGTTTACTCAAATTGTTAGCTGTTAGTTTCATTTTGATACATCTCCTTTAGCTGCTGCAACTACATTTGGTATTCTAATTCTAATTCTAACTAATACCAAAGACCATTTAAAGATGAATTGTGTAACTTTTCTGGTGGAGGGTTCGTCAATTGTTTTTATCCATGGAGATGTTATTTCTTTGCCTGGAATGTTTCATAGAATAGCACAAGCATTATACCTTTTTATCTTCATGGACACCAAACCAAGTTACACATCAGATCTGTGGAGTGGTGACCCCGCTCACAGTCAGAATGCCTGCTTTTCTAGGTATTTGTAACTGAATACATGTAAGGTAGAACTCTTTAATGTCATACTGTGGAACATTCCAGACGGAGCAATGACATATCCACAGAAACAAGCAAGTGACGGACCCCCAACAAAAAAGTTACATAGCACGCCTTTAAAAAAACTGAAGTTAAAACATATAGATCCTATATTACACAAAATGGACTCTTGTGAGCTTTAAGCCGTGTTATTGTTACCTCTTCAAAAACAGACCTGGAGTTATGTTTTGTTTCATTCACACATGTTTGAGTAAATCAAAAGGTGGAACAGAGTTTTTAGTTTTTAGTTTGAGAGAAGAACTCAACCTAAACATGCAGGGTTTGTGTGTTAAACATGTGTGAATGAAACAAAACACAACTCCAGGTCTGTTTGTGATCAGGAAACAAGATTATAACAGAGATAAAAGTTAAAACATAAAGGTGCACTATGTAACAATACGGTGGAGGGTGTGCCACCTGCTTGTCATGTTAATACTTGCCTGAAAAATTCCACAGTATGGCCTAAAACTTGCCTATCTCCATGGAGACAAGCAGGACACACCACCAGGCCAAGTTACAGGTTAGATCTGTGGAGTGGGGACTGTGCTCATAATAAGATTGCATGTTTAGTGGTATATTTTAAGTAATAAACCAGACATTAATAATTGCTACATTTGTGTAATGCCATACTGTGGAACATTCAAGGCAAAGAAAAAACATATATGTGGAGACAAGCAAAAAAAAAAAAAGAAGAAAAAAGAAATATAGCAGCAAAACAAGAACATCTAAAACAGATTTAAATATGAATGGAGTCAGGCCATAGTAATCAAATTTTGTTATTATTTCGTTATTTCATGGAGCTAAATTTGATCTGGATTTCAGTCCGGCTCTGGTGTATCACAGCTCGGTAAAAATGCGGTCCTGGTTTTGACCCGTCTTTATTCTAGGTTTTGCATTTAGTTCTGGTTGAAACCTGGATTAGTCCCTGGTTCAGTCCCGGATTAGTTCCTGGTCAGACACGGGCATCTGTGGCTTGGATTTGATATTTGGACCTGGTTTAACATGAGTTTCACAAGATCTGGTTTCTCTTGATGTTGAAAGACACTGCGAAAACATGTCTTTATAAGGTTTCCATACATGCTTCATTAATTCCTAAATAAATAAATGGCAAAACACTTTATAATAACACTACACTACACAGACAAAGAGTATAATTCATAGCAACAAATACTTAAGTAAGAATGATTTAGTCTCAGCAACTACTTAATTAAAACCCTTAATAACTCTTAGCCCTAACCACTTAATTAATTTGCTACTGAATCCTTCTTAACAAACAATTAAAGTGTAGTTATTATAAGGTGGTTCCCAAATCAATAAATACATACATGAATATCTGCATTAAAATTTTTTGCACATGTATTCCGATGTATGGGCAAATCCCAGTCCTGTATTTTGTACACTTAGAATATGTGTTGCATTTAAATTATAGTGTAAAAACGCAACATAGGATTAAAAATGTTGCGTCATATTTGTTTTGATGTTTGTTTTGCATTTCCTGCCACTAATTGCAAAAGGAAAAACTACACATGCACACGCTATGAGGAGCTGCGTTTTGATTCTTTTCTCAGTGGTTTTGTGCAGTTTGAAACCTAATCAAATGTCTGATCAAAAAAACAAAAAAAAAAAAAACAGACTACAAAAAAAAGTAACTGTACCAAATATATTCAAATACATGTATTCAGTTTAGGGTGACCAGCTATTCAAAATTAAAAACTGGGACACACTGGGACATCTAAAAGGACTTTTTTACTTTTTTGCCTTATGCTCATTTTCAAGCATGGTTTTCTATATTTTATTGGCTCTTTACTGTTGGTAGATAACAAATTGGTCAGCTGAGACATTTCTTGTATTAAAATGGGACAAATAAGTGGTTTTGGAGAAATCTGCAGAGACAGAGGACACAGGGCTCAAAATTGGGACTGTCCCGGGTAAATAGGGACGTCTGGTCACCCTAATTCAGTTACTTCTCCACACTGTATATAAACGCTCTTGACATGCTCCTATATACTATATTATTTCTGTCTTTGCGCTGATCCAGACCTCTGTAGTCCACAGAGACTCGTGCCTCTCCCTTCAGGCACATAACTCTTTTACAATTAGATTCCCTGTACATCCTGCAGCTCACAAGGAATCACATGCTCCAACTAACCGCCAACAGCACAGGCCCTGTCCTCTGCAAACGCAACCAGGACTAAAATATGAGTAAACCGGGTCTAAACAGGACTAAACCAAGACTAAAACATGACGAAACCGGGTCTAAACGGGACTAAACCCTATCCTCTCCAAGTCAGGACTAGAATATGAGCAAACCAGGTATACACAGGACTAAATCAAGAGTAAAACAGGAGGAAACCAGGTCTAAACAGCACTAAACCAGGACAAAAACATGAGGAAAACAAATCTAAACTGGACTAAACCCTGTCCTCTCCAAATCAAGACTACAACATGAGTAAACCAGGTCTAAAAAGGACTAAACCAAGACTAAAACTTGAAAGCAGGCCTAAACAAGACTAAACCAAAACTAAAACATGAGTAAACTAGGTTTAAAAAGGACTAAACCAAGACTAAAACATGAGTAAAACAGTTCTAAGCAAGACTAAACCAAGACTAAACATGAAGAATCAGGTCTAAACAGGACTAAACCAAGACTAAAACTTGAGGAAATCAGGTCTAAACAGGGCTAAACCAAGACTAAAACATGAGTAAACCAGGTCTAAACAGGATTAAACCAGGACTAAATTCTAAACTAGGATTAAAGAGGACTTGTTATGCTTTTGTCTGCTATTCAAGTAGTTATCTATGACACCCGAGGATCATGATGTTATATTTTGGACATTTTAAGTTGCAGTATTCATCTAAAACAACTTAATTGATACTTTGCAGCTGATGTCTTCAATATTCTGTAGGGGTGTGACTAATTCTAGGCACTGATGTGTCTGAGACTTTATTGGACTTTAATCTAAGCTTTATTTTAACACAATCTGACCAGAAAGAGCTGACTGAGCTGGAACTACAACAGATGAGCTGATTTATGCTGTTAAACAAATCTCATTACAGTTTTTCAGTTAGTCATTCTCACCTTTTTGTTGAAATCCAAACACCTAAACAGGACCATGATTGATCACAGACTCCTTTTTTCTTGAATTTTTAGACAATCTTAAAACTTCTTGCCAGTGTTTGTTAATGTATGTCACCATGGTAACGCTTAAACATTCCACCATTAGAGATACAAGTACAACGCCCCCAGCATGAAGTGACTACAAAGTATCAATACACGAAACAAGTTTGCTGACTTCTGATTCCTGCCGGCTATAAACGTCATCTCAACAAAGTCCTGTTTGCGGTCGGCACCTTCTATGGATCACGCCAGCAGCAGCAGATTTTTCTTTCATGTGTTCCAAAATGACTACGTGACACAGCCAAATCCTACGTGTACCACACAATGACATGTTTAAAAGCTCAACAAAGGCTCAAAGGGCGTATATTACACTATTTTGTTATGAGTATTTAAACTCCATACACCTTCACTAGAATCATTTGGATAATTTCAGGTCTTGGAATTGCCCATCTCTGCTGAACTAAATGTAAAATGCAGCTGTCAACTTGAAAACTATCGCTTCATGACATCGTAAGTTGAGTGTTTTGAGCTTTGCAGATGACAGGCCAATACTGCAGGATTACTCAAACATGTGTAAATGAAACAAAACACAACTCCAGGTATGTTTTTGATGAGGTAACAACATTATAACACAGCTCAAAGCAATTCTGCGTAACAGCCTATATGACGTATAACATAACCCAAACACACACAAACCACAAAAATGCAAGATTAGAAGTTTCTGTCATATTAAGTAAGATTGAAAAGTATGTGAAACTAAAGCAGTGTTTCTCAACCAGGGGTGCAGAGACTTTAGTTGTGAAAAAACTGTAGGCATGTAAAGTATACATACATAAGCAGAATAAAGTACTGAAAAGGACAACAAATTTGAGTAAAGCTCTGCTGTACATACTGCTACTGCTAACTACTATTACTACTACCACTACTATTACCACTACTACTACCACTACTACCATTACTACTATCATTAATATCATTACACTACCCCTACTACTACTGCTCTTACTACTGCTATTACTACTACTACTATTACCATTGCTACTACTATTACTGCTGCTGCTGCTGTTATTACCACCATGACTACTACAATTACTACTATTGCTACTACTACTATCATCACTACTAGTACTACTACTACTGCTACTACTACTATAACTACAACTACTATTACTGCTGCTGATGCTATTACTACTGCTACTACTACTGCTATTTCTACTTCTACCACTACTACTACTTCCATTACTACTACTACTACTACTACTACTACTACATTACTACTACTACTGTTGCTGCTGCTGCTACTTCTGCTACTACGATCACCACTAGTACAATTTACCACTACTGCTACTTCCATTACTACCACTACACTATAACTACAATTACTGCTAGTATTACTACTACTACTGCTGCTGCTGTTACTACTGCTACTATTACCATCACTACCATCACTACTACCACTACTACTACTACAACAACAACTACTACTACTATTACTACTACTGCTACTACTATGACTGCTACTGCTAGTACTATTAATACTACATAAGCAGAATACAGTACTAAAGAAGGACCAGGGGCGTGGTCAAAACATGGTTATCTATGTTGTCCCTAAAAATATCAACAAAATACCAACAAATCTGTGTACAGCCCTGTTCCTCATCACACGCTAACACGAAGGGAAGGTCACACAAACATCCCACAGCCTCCCAGTTTGACCCCTGACCTCTACTTCCTGTCTCCAACATGGCCGCCGCTCAGTTTCCAGGGAACGCGGATGCAGGGGAGCAGTTATGTCCCCAGCAAAGGATTAATAACAGCGAGTATTTCCTTTACTGCTCTTAGTGGCGTGCAGACTGTCACGAAAACGGAAAATATACTGAGTGCACTGTAAATAAATCAAAACAAAACAAAAGGACCAATCTATCAATACTTTTCAGCTTGACTCGTAATACTATTGAGGATTTTGCAATAAAGATTTGAGTGAGACCAAACCAGGACTGTGCAATGTGACCAAAAATGTCATATCTTGCATTATCTTGCAAGGTCACCATTCAAGGTTTGTTTTTATACTTTCATATCAAAAATGCATATATTGCTTTAAATATTAATTTCCTTTACTATACTACTATTACTACTACTGCTACTGCTATTATTACTGCTACTAACAGTACTACTGTTATTGCTACTACTATTACTACTACTGCTACTACTATTACTCCTACTGCTACGGCTACTGCTGCTACTACTACACATATATGTTGCTTTAAATATTCATTTCCTGAACATAAACCATACAGACTTTTAATCAATGCCATTAAAGAAACAAGAAATATTTCAAAGTGGTGTTGTCACGATTCATGATACTAAAATTTCAAGTAACAGACTCGATACTCCAATGATAACAGGATTTAATTTTCAGCATTAAAATGTAGTACTTTCTTTTATATTTCCACGTGGTCTTATATGTGTGTAATCCCTCAGTGGTGCAGGTAGGTTCCATGGGCGTATACTAGTCTATGTGCTCTTATACTTGTTCTGATACAGCTCAAAGTGTCTACTTTCAGAAGCAGTTTTAGTACTGATTTTTGATACTTTTGACAACCTTTCTTTAAAGTCTAAACCCTACAACAAACAGCACTCCTTTACTAGCAAAATGACAGGAATGTTGATTGAAACTGTATTGATAACACAGTCCTACCTGAACTAGACTAAACCAGGACTAGAACAGAATCAAACCAAGTCTTCATCATGTCAACCAAGTCTTCATCAAATCAGGATCAAACCAGGACAAGTGTGAACTCAGACTAATTTGCATATAAGGTCTAGATATTTAGCCAGAAATCCAGCATGTTTCTGTTTACGTTCCAAAGTTATTATTAAAACAACAACAACAAAGTAAGAACCATTGTCGTGGCTTTGAAGTGATTTTTTTAAAAAACAGATCATTCTGTAACTTTTCGGGTGGAGGGTCCGTCAAATGCTTTTGCCCGTGGAGATGTTATTGCTTTGACTAGAATCTTTCACAGTATGGCATTAAACCTTTCTATCTTCATGGAGATCAAACCAGACCAAGTTACAAGGTCAGATCTGTGGAGAGGCGACCCCGCTCACAATCAGAATGCCTGTTTTTACATATATTTTTGAGCCATAAAACTGCCTGTAATAGAATAAATGTAAGGTAGAGCTGTTTAATGTCACACTGTGGAACATTCCAGGCAGTCATGACCATAGAAACAAGCAGGTGACAGACCCTCCACCAGAAAAGTTGCACAATGCACCTTTAAGTTATAGCTTGAAATAAGAAAGAATTTGAAAATAAATCTGTAAAATAAATAAAAATTCCCTGTGTGTATCTTAAATTTTAACAATATAATACTAAGCAAACTCACCAGTGCAGGTTTGAGCGAGACTAAGAGCTGTTTGAAATGGTCTTAAATATAAAATGTAATTACGTCGGCGTATTTGGTTACACAGAGCTTTTATCTTTTCAGTTTAAGTCTATAGAAAGTCTGTGACAGAACCAAGAATTCATGTTAATACAAAACCAAATCTCATTTAAACCAAATGTAAACTCAAGTCTGAGGTGAAACCCAGTTCACACAGATGGGAGGTGGTGTGCTTACTGTTCCTACTACTACTACTACTACTGCTACTACTACTACTACTACTACTACTACTACTACTACTATCTATCAATCTATTTAAAAGAAGGTGCTAAAATGTCTATACTCCTCCTACAATGTGAGCTACAAACCTGAGAGGAGAAAACCACATCCAAGAATCCAGTGCATCCAGATTAAACTTGATCTACTAACACTTCCAAGACCTAGCACTACTACTACTACTACTACTACTACTACTACTACTACTACTACTACTACTACTACTACTACTACTACTACTACTACTACTATCACTACTCTGTTTCACTAAGATAAGCCTATCCCATTAAAGCAAACTAAAACTGTTATGGTACTTGTTGCATTAATGAAAACGTTGTAGGCAGGCTATTTAAAAGCTAAAATGACTCTACTGCCAGTACATAGATGTGTAGAGACATTGTGAAATATTTCCTGCTAGTACTACAACAACTACTACTACTACCACCACCACTACTAATGCTACAAGCTTTGATTAGTATCAGTCAGTAAATGGAAGGGTATTTAAAAGAAGATGCCAAAAAATGTCTATATAAAGTATACTTGTACACTGCAAAGTAACCTGAGAGGAGAAGACCCCATCTGAGAATCCAACGCACCTAGAATAAACTTGATCTATTAACACTTCCAAGACCTACTACTACTACTACTACTACTAGCACCATCACTACTGCTAAGAATATTTGACTAAAATAAAATAAGCCCATCCCATTTACTGTTACTTACTAGTTACTTGTTGCATTAAATAAAAAGTTGTAGGCAGGCCATTTGAAAGCATGTCCTAAAATTACTGTACTCATATACTGTCAGCTACTGCTATTGATACTAGCTACTACTACAACTGCTGCTGCTGCTACTACTATTGCTGCTATAATAACTACTATTACAGCCATCACTATTAAAACTACTATAACTACTACTACACTGATAACTTATACTACTACCAGGACTATTACGACTACTATTACAGCTTTTTAGACAGCTACAACTTGCTTAATACTAGTTTTGTTAAGATATGTTAAAGTATGAACTCACTCAGACCTACAAATGTGTGTTCTACATAAAATTTAGAACAAATCAAATAGAATTGGGATTTAACATAAACAAAGGTAAGTTGTCATGTGCTAAATACTAAATATATGTAATTGTATTAGCTTTTACCTGTCAATACACAGAAGTCTTGGACCCAGTCCTCCATTCAAACTTTAAACTACACAAACCACTGAGCAAAATTGATTCTCGTGAGCATTAAGCCATGTAATAATGTTGTTACCTCTTCAAAAACATATCTGGAGTTGTGTTTTGTTTCATTCACACATGCTTGAGTAACCCTTTATTATTAATCTGTCTACATCTAATGGCTAGCTTACCTTTTGTTTAGCAGAGATTGGCAATTCCAGGGTTGAAATGATCCAAATGACTCTAGTGACAGTATATAGACTTTTAAAACACTGTGGTGCACTTCCTGTACTGTCACATGACATCACAAAGTAGGGAAGAATGTGTGAATGAAACAAAACACGACTCCAAGCATGTTTGTGATGAAGGAACTACATTATAACATCAGAAAATAGTGTAATACGGGCCCTTTAACTGTTATAAAACTGTAAAACTGCAAATATTTCCTACTCTGCAGACTACATGATCCGGTTGCATTGCTGGAACATTAAGCTAGCGCTAAATACATATCATTGCATTACTCATAGGCAACTCACCAACAGTTAGCCAGGCAGATCCTATTACAAACTTCTGTCTTCTCCTGTTCACTTCTGAGAAACAAAATCTTGAGACTTTGAGAGTAAACTGAGTTACAATTTGACTGCAACAACTTCACTGAAAACTCACTAAATCTGTACAGGACTGGCCCCAAAGCTTTGCCCCAGTCTCCGCCCCTTTCTCCCCCTCGACCCCATTTCTTTCTGTCACATAAAACTCCAGACTGCTGTAGAGAGGGGAGGGCTGCTGTATAGTCGTAACAAATGTTCAGTAGTAGCATGATTATTGCGTTGATTAAACCAGATTTAAAGCAGGTCTAAAACCACATCTAAACCAGGTCTAAAACAGATCTAAACCAGGTCTAAACTAGGTCTAAACTAGGTCTAAATCAGGTCTCAATCAGGTCTAAACTAGGAATAACTAGTAACTCACAAGCAGAAATTAGTAGCACATTTTAACCAGGTCTAAACCAGGTCTAAACTAGATCTAAACTAGGCCTAAACTAGGTTTAAACTAGGTCTAAACTAGATCTAAACTAGGTTTAAACAAGGTCTAAACTAGGAATAACTAGTAATTAACATGCAGAAAGTAGTGGCTCATCTTAACCAGGTCCAAACCAGGTCTAAACCAGGTCTATACCTGGTCTAGACTAGGTCTAAACTAGGTCTAAACCAGGTCTCAACCAGGTCTAAACTAGGAATAACTAGTAACTAACATGCAAAAAGTAGTAGCACATTTTAACCAGGTCCAAACCAGGTCTAAACCAGATATAAACCAAATCTAAACCAGATCTAAAACAGGTCTAAACCAGATCTAAACCAGATCTAAACTAGTAACTAGTAAATAACATGCAGAAAATAGTTGCATGTTAATTGCATTGAAGAATCCTAGACTAGTACTGTGACTGCAACATAATGTCAACAGATTATCTCAGAGACATAAGGATTAACCAGAACTAAACCAGGACTTCATGAGGACTAAACTGGGACTAATACAACAACCAAAAATGCTCAAAGTAGTGACGTGACTATTGCACTGAAAACCTCCAGTCACCTCCAAATCCCAAATCTGGACTATGCAGGATCAGGGAGAAAATGAGAATTAAAACCAGATAAATTGTGACTCAACCCAGACTTAACCAGTATTAAACCAGGATTACACCACAAGTCACTCCAGTTCATTGTAGCCACTCAATCCACCTTAAAAGTCTAAACCAAGACTAAAACACTTCAAAGCAGGTACATTTGTAATAAATGAATGTATGATCTAGGACTAAACCAAGTCTAAATTGGGTCTAAACCAGGATTAAATGAGGACTAAACCAAGAATTAAACTACTGCACTGCGCTGAAATCTCCACTCTCCTCAAAATCCTAACCCAGTACAAACCAAGACTACACCAGGACTAAATCAGGACTAAACCCAGCCAAAGCCAGGACGAAACCAGAACTAAACCAGGACTAAACCAGGTCTAAATGAGGTGTAATGTTTTAAACAGAACTGAACAAGGAGCAGCATGCAGAAAGCAGCATGATAACTACAATGCAAACTTCACTCACCTCAAAAAACACTAACCCAATACAAAGCTGGACTAAACTGGGTACTAAGAAGGATTAACTAGGACTAAACCAGGTCTAAAACAAGTTTAAACCAGGACTAAACCAGGTCTAAACCAGGTCTAAACCAGGATTAACAAGCAGAAAATCACACTATAACAGCATTGAAAACTCTACTCACCTCAAAATCCTAATCCAATACAAACCAGGATTAAACCATGTCTAAACTTGGTATTGACCAAGACTAAACCAGGTCTAAACCAGGACTAAATCAGGATTAACATTCAGAAAGTAGCACTATCCCTGCATTGTAAACTTCACTCTTTTCAAAATCCTAACCCATTAGACACCAGGATAAAAGTATGTCTAAACTGGACACTAACCAGGACTAAACTAGGACTAAACCAGGTCTAAACCAGAACTAAACCAGGACTAAACCAGAATTAACATACAAAAAGTCCCTGCATTGCAAACTCCACTCACCTCTTTTCTTTTCTTCTTTTGCAGCTAAGTCCGAATCGTTCTTCTAACTTGTTCTTCAGAGTTTTCTTAGAGTCTTTTCGGCGGGACAGCCCAGCTCCAGCACTCCGTCTGCGTCCCCTTTCTCTGGCCCACTGTTGTGTCAGATGAGTTGGCTCCTTTTTCCCCTCCTCTTTCCTTGTTCCCTCCCTCCTCCTCTTCTCCTTCTCTCCTCTGTTCTTCAAAAAACAGCTGCAAAGGAAACGCGCTGTCAAACTCTTGTGGTTGGTGACGTTGTGGCTCTTGTCTTCCACTGGCACAAACGAATGCAGCGTTGGTAGTGTTTGTACAGGCCCATACTCCACCCATATTTAAACAGGCAAACAAGAGACAAATCTGCATTACTTTTAAAGAGTGCGCTGAGGATTAAAGCTGGGGCATTGTGTCTCTGGGCAAGACACTTCACCCACATATGCTCAGTCCAGTTGTCACTATTTGTTTATAGTTTAGACAGGAAAGGCATCCGAGTTGATAAATAAAAAAATAAATAAAGTTCTTGCAGCTGGCTATGGGAATTTCAAGACAGAGATAAACTTTTAAAACTGATAAGAAAGAACGTTACCATGACAACCTGTTACATCATTACAACAGCACTGTATTTTCTGCTACTTCCTTGTCTCCATGAGGTGTTATTGCTTTGCCTGGAATGTTCTGCAGTGTGGCATTAAATGTATATATTGCATTAAACATTATACATTATAACATATATAGTGCATTTAAGTAAGTACATTTTTATGTGAGGGGACTTGCCGGTCCTCAGATCTGACCTATGACTCGGTCAGTTGCGTCACCATCTTCAACAGACAAATACTACAAAAGACATGACACATACATTTAATAACTATTACTACGACTACAACGGCAACTACTACAAAAACTACCACACAACACCCACAAATACTACAACTACTACAACTACTAGTACTCAACTGTATGGCAGTTGTATCTTCTCTCTGTGTTGACGTCTGTTGTGTCTCTGTTCTGGTTTCCCTGTAAAACAGATTGAGGATAAGTGGGACATTCCTTTCAGGTCAAATATCTGTTACTAACTGAAGAAGACATAACTTAGTTACTGCTATGTTGCCATGTTTGTTTCTATGTTCAATAAAGGATCTATCTTTCTGTCCATCCATCTGTCCATCCATTTATCTATCTATCTACAATGGTTACAGTCACATTTATAAAGCTGGTTTACTCCAGTGTTGTACCTAGGGCTGGGTATTATTAAGAAGTTGACAATATCTCCATACAGTGCACTTTCGTTTCGATATGATATATTTCAAATTGATTTGATACAGTTCAATAAAAAATAAAGACTAAATCATGGCTGTGATACTAAAAGTCTTTGTTAAACCACTTCTTGAGCAAAGTTCATATAAAACACACCCATGTTTAATCATCAAAACAGTGAAAATTCAAATGTGTCACATAAACGAGTTTCCCTCCTCTAAAAAAGCAAGAAAACTGTAGCGCTGTCACAAAATAATTTAGTAAAATATACCAAAAAATACTCTTGGTGATAGATCGATACAGCAGCCCATGATATTGATACCGTATATCACAATAAACGATACAATATATCAATATTTCAATATTTTTGCACACCCCTAGTTGTACCCTAGTTAATGTGTTTTTTTATTGTGATTTTAATCTTTCTTATTCTGTAAAACACTTTGAATTTCTTTGTGTACAAATTGCGCTTTACATATAAACTTGCCTTGCCTTAATTTCGTTAACTAAAATATTTTTATCACATTTTTGAAAATGAATTAAAAAGTAATCACAAAGACTAAAACTGGATTAAAAGTAAACGCATTTCTGTCAAAGTATGTACTGATATTTGGATTCGGATTGGAGTCCAAGCACCAAGTGTTCAAAGATTTATATATAGACACTGGAGGTAAGTGTATTGCCCAAAGACACAACAGGTATATGTCTCTCCCAACTAAGATATTGCTGGATGATTGATGTACTTTTTTCATATTGAAACTAATTTCCCAACTGTCACAACACTGAAGAAATGTTGTTTCACTTCACTTTCACTTCTCTCAACTCAGTCATAGCAGCTACAGTTTTCAATCAAACTTTGACTCTTTTAACGGAACAAATTAAGGTCATTTCAAAAAACATTTTTCAGGAAGTTCTCGAAGTTCTCAGTTTGTTAATGTCATATTATTCATTTTATTAAAGGTCCACTCTAGTGAAGGATTCACCACCTGCTTGTCTCTGTGTTAGAGATGTTATTGCTTAGTTACAGATGTTCCTCAGTATGACATTAAGTTGATATATTTTGCATTTACTGAATTACTTTTTTAATGCTGAAAATAGCTTTAAATACATGCATTCTTAAAGTGAGTGGGGTCCCCTCTCCACGGATCTGACCTATACCGTTCCCTGGCGTTGTCTGTTTGTCCCTACGGAAAAAGATACATTTAATTAATGCCATCCCGTGGAATATGTCAGGGAAAGCTTTAACATCTCTATGACAACAAGCAGATAGTCGACTCCTCCTCCTTCTTGACAGCAAAAACATCAAAAGTTGGATGAAATAAGCCAACTTTTGTTTTTAAAGGTGCGTTTAGTAACATTTCCATGGAGATGTTAAGCCAGGTTACAGGTCAGATCTGTGGAGAGGCAATCCCGCTCACAGTTGTCATGTTTTCATTGTTGGTAGAGCTGTTTAATGTCATACTGTGAAACATTTCAGACAGAGCATTGACATATCCACAGAAACAAGCAGGTGATGGACCCACAACTGAAAAGTTACACAGTGAATCTTTAAAAGTCCAGAGAATAGTTATAACATACAGAAATCCCCGAAGTAGACGTAACAACTTTGGCGTGTGCAACAAAACAAACCCCATATTTGGCCTCCCTCCATTCACCTGCCTTATCTTTCTCATAACACAGATCCTATCTTTTACACCGCTTTGACAGTTCGAAAGTTATTTTAGAATAAACTTTTATGTTCGAAAGCAAGTTCTGTTTTATCTAAACACATGGTGCATAAATAAATTAGAGCTGGTTTAATTGTACAGATCAGAGCAATATGAGGCAAATGTAAGAGGACAACTTGAGTGCAGTGAGTCCAGTGTTGTGTCTATGTCACAGTCACATGCATCACTCAGGGTAATAAAGCATGAAAGCACAGAGAAAGAAAGAGAGGGGGAGGGATGGAAAGAATAGAGAGAGGGGGGAGAGAGAGAAAAGGGAGGGAAGGAAAGATGAGAGAGAAAAGAGAGAGAGGAAGGAGAGAGAGAGGGGGAAAGAATCGAGAGAGAGAGACAAGGGAGCAATGGAAAGAAGAGTGAAGGTAGTAAGAGAAAAGAGAAAGATGAAGGAGAGGGGAGAGAGAGGGGGGGAGAAGAGAGAGAGAGGAAAGAGAGAGAGAGAGAGAAGGGAAAGAATAGAGAGGGGGAGATAGAGATAAAAGAGAGAGGGTAAGGAGAGAAGAGAGAGAGGGGAGAGGGAGGAAAAGAAGAGAGAGGGAAGAGAGAGAGATGGGAGTAAGGGAAAGAAAAGAGAGAGAGGGGAGAGAGAGAAAGAAGAGAGAGAGGGAGAGAGAGAGGGAAGAGAGAGAGAAGGGTTGGAGGGAAAGAAGAGCAAGAGAGAGGGAGAGAGAGAAAAAGAAAGAGAGAGGGAAAAGAGAGGGGAGAGAGGAGAGAGAGAGAGAGAGAGAGAGAGAGAGAGAGAGAGAGAGAGAGAGAGAGAGAGAGAGAGAGAGAGAGAGATTGGATTTTTGACAGACTTTATTGTGTTTGTAAAAAACATTTTGATTGAATTTCATCCACAACTTGCGCTATTTACATAAAAAGTATTGACATTACATACATACTATTTACACTATTTACAAAAACAGAGGTCCGAGTAAGAGTTAGGGAGAGAGAGAGAAAGAGAGAGAGCGAAGAGAGAGAGAGATAAGAGAGAAGAGAAAGAGAAAGCTTTTGCCCAAAGCTCATTACCAGATAAGGCAGTGCGCTTACGTCGCCCCCTCTGGGCCTCTTCCCCTGGGACGTCCCGACACAGCTGGGGCTCACATCCGGAGAGAGAGAGAGAGAGAAAAGAGAGAAGGACAGAAAGAGAGACAGAAAGAGAGAAGAGAGAGAGAAACAAGGGACGGGTTCAGAAAGAAGGGACGAGAAAGGAACAGAGGAGGGAGAGAGAGAAAGAGAGGAGGAAGAGTCCAACCAAGGAGGGAGCCAGAGGGCCAGAGAAAGAGGGGAAGAGAAAGGGACAGAGGAAATGTAAGAGCGGAAAAGAGAGAGAGAGGAGAGGAAGGAAGGAAGACAGAGAGAGAGAGAGCTTTGAAGTGGTAGCCTCTGAACATGATCTGCTCCCAACAATAACACAGGAGTTAGGGGCAGTGTGTTCTGAAGAAAGAGGAACTGTGTCTAAATTTAAAGACAATAGAGCATGACTGAAAATACGGAAATAGGCTGTAAACAGAATCATCTTACCTGAATTCATAGTGTAGTACTGCACTTTAGAAGATCGCAAACATGTGGATGCCATAGTGAGCTAACAGCCGATCCAATCATAATGAAATGATTCACTTAAAAGAGCACTGTGTAACTTTTCTGGTGGACTCTGATTGAAACGTATCTATTTTTATGGAGATAAATAGCTGAAGCCAGTAGACCAAGTTACAAGTCAGATCTGTGGAGAGAGGCAAACCCAAGTACACAAAGAAAGAAAATAAATGAAATAAATGTGAAATAAATGTTTAATGCCATATAGAAGAACATATATTCAAATCAACATCTCCACAGGGACAAGTTCTGTACCCAGAAAAGTGCACTTTTTTAGTCTAATACGATCTTATTTTACTGCATGTAAGTAGCTTTATTAAATCACATTTTATGTCTGAAGAATTGATTTTATTAGTTCCATTTGTTATCTGAATTGTGCTGAGTTTTAGAGCTAAATGTTTGTTTTATATTGCTATCATGTGAAGCACTTTGGAAACTTTGGAATCTTGTTTATAAAATCTGCTATACAAATAAACTTGGATTGGACTGGATCATCTGCACGTAGTCCCGTTAATTGCTATTTATTCTTGTTTATTTGCAGCATTGTACATAACCACTGTCATAGCCACTTACTGTAGGTTTGTAGACTTATAGTTTTACTCTGCTCAGCGTCATGTTAGATTCTGTCTATTGTTAAAGGGCCCCATATCACTGTCTTCTGATCTGTTATAATGTAGTTTCGTCATCACAAACATTCCTGTTTTGTTTCATTCACACATATTCAAGCATAATAGGCTTTGTTCATCTCTCAAACTGAAAATACATACACTTTCACTAGAATCATTTGTACTGGAATTTCACTCCTGGAATTGCCAGTCTCTACTGAACTAAAGGTAAAAGTGAAAACTACTGCTTCATGACATCACAAGATGGAGCTGAGCATTTTGAGCTTTGGAGATAGACAGACTAATAATAAAGGATTACTCAACTTACATGTTTGAGTAATGCTTTATTATTAGTCTGTCTGCATTTAATGGCAGTCTTTTACCTTTTGTTTAGTAAAGATTGGCAATTCCAGGGTTGAAACTATCCAAATGATTCTGGTGACAGTGTATGCAGATTAAAAACACTGTGGCGCACTTCCTGTACTATCACATGACATCACAAAGTGGGAAAGAACTCAGTTTTGTGTGTTTAACATGTGTGAATGAAACAAAACACAACTCCAGGTCTGTTTTTGATGAGGAACATTATAACATGGCTAAAAGCTCAGAAGAGTCAAATTTGCATAAGAACCTTTAAGCTTTTTATAGTTATTTATCTAATGCATGTTCTTATTTTCCTGCTGTTCTTGAACTTTAATTTGCAGCTGTAATTTCCCCATCATGACACAAATAAAGGTTTATTTTAATTTATCTGATCTAAAAAAAAAAAGTAATAATGTAAATTTGCTGATGCCTTGAAATCAGATATTGTTCCTTGTATTTGTCATAATTACACTAATGTGACTTATTATCGAACAGGTCAAACCAAAGGGAGATGCCATCCATAAGAAAAGCCGGAGTTGACTCAGAGTTTGTCCCTGTCACAACTTGTAAAATAAGACACTTGAGTTGGGAATGTTGAAACACTGTAACCTGCTCTTACAGGAAACCCCGTAATCCATAGATACTGACTCAGCCTGTTATTACTGTGTACGGATAATACAGGAAGAGCAGATGTCAACACGACGCTCCTGTCAAGTTTAGATTCCTGTCATTTTGGGAGACAAGGGCCTATTGGACAGTTCCAGGTATTATGTCATATTTAGAGGGCTTTTTCCATTCAACACTTATACTTTTTTTTAGTTTTGAATTCTTAATCACTATGGCAACGGTCCTAATGGAGAAAAATGAAGCAGACCTAATACATACAATCATACGATCAAATAAAAATGACTTTGTCTTTCACCACCCTATTTCATGTTTACATTTGGAGAGGCATAGGTCTGTTGAAGGGTTTCAGCTATTATTACGCAACATCTAGAGGATTTTTTTACCATTCAAAACATATACTTATTATTTTTGAATCGTTAATCACTATGGCAATGATCATAATAGAAGAAAACTAGGCAGACATAATAAATAATCATTTCAAATTACTTACTTTTATTTTGGTCTTACCTCATTGAGATTCACGGTACTGTCAATTTGCTGAATGTCCTTCCCCACTCTTCAGTCCCATTTCATGCTTAGATCCATCATGTCCAATAAGTTTTAAAGGGAGAAAAAAAGAATTATGCAAGTAATTGAGTGGTAGAATAAGATTATAAATTCAGTTTGTTTAAAGATGCACTATGCAAATGCTCTGGTGGAGAGTCCCCCACCTGCTGGTCTCCAGAGATATGTAGTTATTTAGAGAATGTTCCAGAGCATGGCATTAAACTTGTGGTGCTTCCAGGTCAAGTTACAGGTCAGATCTGTGAAGAGATGACTCTGGTAACAAATAATGCATTTTTTTCAAGGCATTTTTGAGCATGTCACAAAAAGCAATAACACCTCCACGGAGACAAGTAGACAAACCTTCCACCAGAAAAGTTACACAGTTAGGGTGACCAAAGATCCCTATTTACCCGGGAAAGTCCCAGGACAGCCCTGTGCCCCCTGTCTCATCAGATTTACTCAAAACCACTGATTAGTCTCAGTTTTGTACAAGAAATGTCCCAGGTGTCCCTAAATTTGACCAATTTTATCTACACTACGTCTAAACCAGGACTACATCAGGTCACAATTTTTGACGAATCTGATCTTGCCAGCAGTAAAGAGAAGCATAAATAATCATTTGTTTAGCCAAAATACAGAAAACCGTGTTTGAAAATGTTCATACAGAAGAAGAAAAAAAATGCAGCGACAGAAGTCCTTTAGATTATGACTGACACGACAATGCACAATTACACGCTCTTTTCACAGTTTTATAGTGTCTTTAAGCATCCTGTGATACCAAAGGAAGATATGAAGAACAATAGAACAAAACAATATTAACCGACACATTTCTGACCTGTTTTTGTATCACGCAGAACGAGGACATCTGGTGGTCAAATACTTCCCACAATACACCTCTGCTGCAGTCCCACTTGTTTCCACTGGAGGTCACTGTTGTGTTATAAAGCAGTAATCACACTTGCTCCTCTATACAGAAGAAGGACGCAGCATGGCTACTACACGTACGTAAGGTAAAACGTGCGTCTATTTTGCACGATTTTCTTGTCAATAACCAAAGATCACTTTTGTTTGCAAGCTATAATACAATCTACGGATAGCTGTCTTAATTTCTTAGTGTGTGTCTGCTAGAACAAATGCGTACGTTTATTAAAAACTTAATTAATTACAGATAGAAGCTACAGCATGTTACCAGTATCAAATGGAACAAATTGGAAACGCGTATTAGTCGTGTCTAAAAGCAAAAGTCTGCATTTGTAGATGAAATATGTAACCTAAAATGATCAGTTTGTCATTGTAAATTTTCCAATAAAGGCCACTGCTGCTACACGTGGTTAGCTCTTTAGCAACAGCCTGCCACTAGCTCATACCACATGTTTTTGCATCCTTTGTAGAAATAAAATTGAAAAGTCTCTCCTAAATAATCCTGCATAAGTTTCAATAAATTCTTTTTGTATACCTCTCTGTGATGACTTGCACTGGGCTCTGAATTGAATGAAGTTAATGTGCATCTCTGGCCTGACAAGCCGGAGTTTTCTGAAGAGGAAATGAAAATTAAAATTTGTAAAGATTATAGCAACGACGTAACGTAACGATGTATTTTTTGTTTCAGATTTTGGTGAACTTAATCAACAAAACTTCCACTACCACAATTCAAAAGGTATGTAAACTATTATTAGGCTAATCTGTGCAAAATCAATCAACTTAGCAAGGTATAAAAATAATATCCTACTATTAGACATAGACAAACTTTATTGATCCACAAGGGAAATTACTTTATTTATTTATTGTTATTATTAATATTTTGTCATAATGCAGAATATTATGCAAATCTAATATGCAACTCCAGTGTCATTTCATTCTGTTTTGCTGGAATAAAATGTGTTAATTAAAAAAGTCCCCTAGCCAGCTTCTGGACTAAAGTAAAAGACTGTGTCAATTATTACATTTTAACTTTCAGCTCAGCCAGCTTTAGTCATACTGGGTGTGTGGACTCTAAAAAACTCAAAAGAGCTTTGCACCTGCCTTTCTAGCTGTTAAAATATTCTAATAATATGCAAAAGGCACTGAATTGGTCCCATGTTGATAACATGAAATAAAACCGGTTATAATTTATGTTGCACTTATTTTCTTTTCATTATTCTTTCTGTGATGACTTGCACTGGGCTCTGAATGAATCTGAAGTTAAAGTGCATCTCTGGCCTGACAAGCCTGAGTTTTCTGAAGAGGGAATTATAATTAAAAAGTTGGTAAAAGTGTTTGTTTATGCAATACAGTAACGCATATCATTTGTTTTTCAGAGTTTAGTGGCAGTCCTATAAAGATGGGTCTGCTCTTCTTCATTCATAAAAGGTATGAAATTATATACAACATATCCACTACAGGAGAATACAATTATTCTCTTAGTAAAGGTTGTTCTTTTGGCATTGGCAGTATAGTTTTTTTCTGTGATGACTTGCACTGGGCTCTGAATAAATCTGAAGCTAAAGTGCATCTCTGGCCTGACAAGCCTGAGTTTCTGAAGAGAAATAGCTTTAAAAAAAGATGTGGAAAATTGTTTGTTGCAATACGGTAACCCATGGCTTTTGTTGTACAGAGTTTGGTGGTGATGATGTCCTCATGAAGACAAAAATACATCTTTTCTGCATTCAAATGGTATGAAATAATGTACAAAGTGTGCCTTCAACAAATTCCAGTTATTTTCAGAGTAAAGGTAGTTTGGCTGCAATCAAAATCCTTATTTAAACGTGCAATGTGTCACTTTTTGGTTGGGGGTCTGTCTCCTGCTTTTTTTCATGGATATGCCATTGCTCTGCCTGGAATGCTCCACAGTATGACACTGAACAGCTCTACCTTACATTTATTAAATTACAGGTGGTTTTATAGCTCAAAAATCCCTAAAAAAAAAACAGGCATTCTGACTGTGAGCGGGTTCGCCTCTCCACAGATCTGACCTGTACCTGGTCTGGTTTAATCTCCATGAAGATAGAAAGGTTTAATGCCATGCTGTGAAACATTCTAGACAAAGTGATGACATCTCCATGGAAAAAAGCATTTGACGGACCTTCTGCCAGAAAAATTACACAATGCAGCTGCAGCTCTAAACGCGAACATCAGAAGCAGCGTTAGTCGGCTGTAAAGACTTTCCAAACATTCCAAAATAAGCCAAATAAGGCCCTATATGTTCCCTATAATTCCTTGTTTAATCATGTTATGAAATGTATTCAGGGAGTACTTTTTTCTTTCTGTGATGACTTGCACTGGGCTCTGAATGAACCTGAAGTTAAAGTGCAGCTCTGGCCTGACAAGCCTGAGTTTTCTGAAAAGGAAATGTGCCAAAATTATATATTACAATATAGTTAATTCTGCACATTAACACATGGCTTTGTTTTGCAGATAGTGAAGACTGAACTTAAAGCAATGTTGCAGCAAAGGTGAGTTTTTGGTTGGAAGTCAGTTTATAATTTTAGTTCTGTTAAAACTTAAACTGTAATTTCCTTCCAGACTTTAATATTAATACTAAACCAAAGCTAAAATGGGATTAAATAAAGATTCATTTTAGGTCACAGAGGTAAATTTAGAGCAAAGTTTCTGGTTTCATAAAGAAATATGCATTACCATTTAATTTATCTTCTCCCTTTATTTTCTTGCCTAATATGCTATTAAATATATTCAGGGAGTCTTTTTTTTTTTTTTTTCTTCTTTCTGTGATGACTTGCACTGGGCTCTGAATAAATCTGAAGTTAAAGTGCATCTCTGGCCTGACAAGCTGGAGTTTTCTGAAGAGAAAATAAGCCAAACTATTTGTAAGATATCATAGTTAATTCAGTATATTAACACGTGCCTTTGTTTTGCAGATTGTGATGAACATAAAGCCCACATTTGCAGCAATGTTTTCAAAAGGTGAGTACTGAGGTTTTTGGTAGAAGTTCTGTTAAAACTAAAGGTGCAACTACCTTAATGTCCTTATCTAACTTTGCTAAAATATAAACCAAAACAAAAGTACAGTTTACTGCCAAGTTTCTGGTGACAGATTTTGCCAATATTCAGTGATATGAGATATAAATATTATGTTTTTAATTGTCTTTTCCTTGTATTTTCTTGTCTAAAAGTATGATTGGATGTATTTTGGAGTTTTTTTCTTTCTGTGATGACTTGCACTGGGCTCTGAATGATCCTGAAGTTAAAGTGCATCTCTGGCCTGACAAGCCTGAGTTTCTGAAAAGGAAAAAACGTACTTAAAACAAACCAAAATATTTCCATGTTTGCATGTCTAAATTATTAAAGTTTTTTTCAAATAGCTGTACAGATTCACTTATTGTTTTCCAGACTCTGTACCACCTGTAACCCTGCAGTCTACCTGTAATCTATACAACAATATGAAGCACAGACCACGTCCAAATGACTGCCCTTTTGTTATTGGTCTAACTGTGCCCTGAATGACTTGGGAATCTTAAATATGGGGAAGAAGAGTGATCTGAGTGAGTTTGACCGTGGTCTGGTGGTCGGCGCCAGGAGGGCCGGACTTAGCGTTTCTGAAGCAGCTAAACTTTTGGGCTATTCTCGGACCACCGTGTCTCGAGTTTTCAGGGAGTGGTCCGAAAAGCGCGTAGTGTCCAGCTCTCGCCAGTCGTGTGGGCGAAAATGCCTCGTGGATGATCGGGGGCAGAGGAGGTTGGACAGACTGATTCAGGGAGACAGAGAAGCTACAGTGGCAGAGCTGACCGCGCGTTACAACGATGGACAGCAAAAGACTATATCAGAACGGACCACCAGGAGGGCGCTGAAGAGGCTGGGATACAGTAAAACGCCACTGGGGACGCCGGCCAAGCCTCCAGCCGATCCAGAGCAGAGTTCAGAGGTGGCAGAGGTCACTGGGTCAACACAAAAAGACGAGCAAACCAGCACAGACACGACTCAAGTGGACCAGATCAGACAAGACAAAGGTTGGCAGATCTGAACTATTTGAAAGCCAGTGGCGCCTCCTTGCTGTGAGTGATTGAATTGAAGTTTGGGTATGTAGTTTGTGCACACATCTGTCCTGTAACTTTGTGTACAATATTTAAATTGTGTCTCTCCCTCAGAATCGGCCTG